TCAGTAGCCACCTTCATAGCATAATGAGCATTTTTGCGTTTGACCTTAAAGACTCTTCCAAAGCCACCCTGTCCCAAGAAACCCAACATCGTAGCCCCGCAGTCTGCAAGGCAAGCGCCCAAACGGCGCTCATGGGCAGGCTCTGCAAACTTCTCAGCCAAAAATTGCAGCGTGCCTCCCTGCTCCCAGACGCCACTCCATATTTCCATCAGCTGTTTAGACGTACCCCGCTCTCCATGCGCGATCAGCAGTCGAAAACCTTTCTTGTCATACAGCAGGCCAAAGCTGGCACTTGTGTGACTCAAAAGCGCATGAAGACGGTCTTCATGGCTGATTTGTATATCGAGCTTGCCGTCAAAGAGGGCTGTGACTGAATCCATGAGCGCTGGCCGTCCATAGTGGGATCCCTTTCGCTTCTGCTTCGGAGACACTGCTACGTAACAACGAGTGGCAAAAAAATCTGGTTGACCAAGACCTGGCCCCCAGTTGATGTCTTCACAATTTACCAAGAAATGCTGTGGCACCATTTTCTGGAGCCAGGGCTCCATTATCTCGTTCACCCGACGAAAATCTTTGGCACGTTTCAGCTGATTTCTGACTGGCTTGCTCAAGACCACTCCGCCTTCCTTTCCCTCGAACTTCCGCACATCCGCGTCCTCACAAACTAGCGAGCGTCGCATCAAGCCCACAGAAACCTACCAACAGCCCCGTAGACCACAAAGCAGTCAGTCCTGGCGCCGGGCTTTTGCCGCGGTAGTGGGGGTTTGACTCGCAGGAGTCGGCTTCAACATAGTCTCGATTGCCTTCAACCTTTGCAAGACCTCTGTCTGCTCTGACACCTCGGCATATGTCTGAAACTGGACTCAGCGTAAGTGCAAAGAAGAGACGAGACGCAGAACATACAAAAATCCTTCCGGCCACCGGCAGGACCCCTAGGCAAGAAGAGAAACCCAAGCCATAGATGAGAGAGAAACGAACCCAGCCTCAGGCCTAAACCTGCCTTCTTTCGACGACCTCCCCAGAACAGGGCAGAGAAGACCCCTCACACAATTGAACAAAGAAAACACCCGGCGCAAATCTCCCAGCCCTCTTAAAAACACCTCCCAGCAACACGGCAACAAAGCTAACCGGCAAAAAAGTACCCAGCGACCTGTGACCTCTCGCCGACTCTCGCCTCGAGCCTGCTGTGACCTCCTGGGTTCAGAGCAAGCCCTGCCCGTGACCTCCCATCCGAGGCCCAAAGATGCCTTTAAACGCCCCCTGGATGTGCCAACAGAGAGTAGGCAAGGCCAGCTCAGCTCTGCAGCCCTGCCCTGCTGCCCTGGCCTGGAGGGTGTTCGGGGCGTTCGGGGCCGTCGGTGCGTTCGCAGAGTTCGCAGAGTTCGCAGAGTTCAGATTTGGGATAATTTGCGAGAGCTCGTCGGCGGGACCACGCTTGATGTTCTAGCCCGACACGAGTTTTTCTTCGTTCATCCTGAGGAGCACTCGGCCAGTCACCTTACAGCACACTTTGGAGATGCTCAGCATGCCAACATGCAGCACTGGGCCAGGCACGGACTGTGCTTCGAACTTCTGCGCAATGTCTTTTGCATCCTTCTCATCGATCCCGTTCTCTTTGAGCTTGGCTTCCACCCACTGCGCGACCTGCAAGGCACTGCAAGGGACAAAGCAAAGCGACCAACATAGGGCGAACGGTGAGGCACTGCGGCACCTTCTGCTTGTTGAAACCTTTCACGTCCTGTAAACGCTGACACCAATGCGCCCACAACTAACAAGGAAAGCAAACCGCGCACTTCAGCCGTCTCGACATTCTTCTTGGTTCGAGCTTGCTTCGTGGAAGCCTGCGCGAAAGCGAAACCAAGCGCAAGGATTCAGTTGACCGGCTTGCACGAACAGGCGGCCTCATCTGAAGCTTGTTCCGCCTGCAGAAGCCAGGTCTGCGAAGCTCAAACCGACAGCAGCACAAGCTCCCCCTCCCTGAAGGCACTTCAGCCTTTTCGTCGTCTTCGGCCAGGTCAGCAGCCGCCTGTGGGCACGGACGGATCCCAAGCAAACCTTCAAGCCCAGAAAAGGCTTCGCATTGTATTTGTCTGATGCTTCCTCAGTCTGCACGAAAATCTCAAACCAACAGCCACGTAGAGCTTCCCTGCCTTCTCGGCGTTTTTGCCCGGGTCAGAAGCCATGCCTAGGTAAGCCTGCAAGACACGGACCGATCTCAAAAGCACTCTTACTCTCACAGCCAGCCGCGCCTTCTCTTCAGGTTTGTCCTAGATCCTTGCTGCCTTAGACGCAGATTCCTGCACAAAGCGGGGGAAGCCCATCGCAGCTAAAGTTCCAGGAAACTCTCACTGACAAGGTCCTCTGACTGCGTCGCAGGGCTGCCGGAACGTTTCTTGCTTCCTTCTGCCATCTGTGAAGCCTACTTTTCTCGAATTTGAACCAGAGCACTGCTGGACGATTGGACCTTCGCGCCTGCGAGCAGTGTCCCCTCGGTTTCGGCTTTCACAGTTGCGCTCAAGTCACAGCAAGCGCCAGCTTCGTCACCGACGAAAATGGCTGCGGTGATTTGCAACAAATCAAACCAAGCATCATGCAAAAGCAAGAAACCCAAACAAATCATACCGAAAATCTCACATGCGGATCAAGATTAAGCGCAAAAACTATGCAAACACATGTAGATGGAGTTTGCACCAACAAACCAAGAAAAATCGTGAAAAACACGACTATTGCGAGTCCGCTTTATCGAAAGCTGCAGCAAAAAGCTCGGCGACGCACCTCAAACCGCAACCGAGGTCTGCCTCGTGGTCTGAACTGTGCAGTGCCAGCTAAGACGCGTCACCAAAGCAACATGTGCGTGACATGAAGGTGAAAAGCTTGTTGAAGCAACCGCTTCGAACGTCGAGACACTCGAGGAGCCAGGTTGCAAGGCTACCACAACTGCAAGACCAAGCGATGAAACGGCTCAGTGGGGCTTGCCGTAGGAGCGCATGAAGCGGCAGCCAGAAGCAGCCAGCGACCACAGCAGCTTGAAGACTAAAGATAGCCCTTGAAGAGCAGCGAAACACGTAAGCTCTCTCTTATGCCGTGGCCTCTA